TTTGTTTTTGCTGGAAACTTAGACCCAGCTTGAAAACTTAATGATTGTAAAATTTAATGTGTAAGAATGGGAGCTGGTATTTATAGCCCTCTTAAATGAAGAATGAATGCTTTAAATGTTTAAAAAAAAAAACAAGGATGTGCTGTTATTTTTTTTAAAAATGGAGGGAACCAAAATTTTCACCGAAAATTCAACAAATTCGAATTTTTGGTGAAAATTTGGGGGGAAATCCACCCCATGTGGTTCTACCAATTTTTCCCACCAACAATGCAACATGGTGGCCCTACTTTCTCTCTCCTACATGCTTTAATTAAGTACACATCCTTTTCTTAATCTTTGTCCTTCAATCTTTTGCCTGGTGAACCGTTTTATGTGCCAAAGATGCACATAAAGGTTGTAGATGAAAACTAACTACTAGTAGAAAATTTTATTTGTACCATCAACGCTAGACCGCAATTTTTAAAACATGTGTTTGTTTATGGAAAAATAGTGAACTTAAGGAGGCATTAATAATGATGCATAAAGCATAATCATGCAAATTAAATAATCCATTTAATTTTGGTAGGTAAGAAAACTATCCTATAATAAGTGCGGAATGTTTCACAGATCAATTCGGCCTAGTAAATTTCTTAATTTACATATACATTTAGGGGTCGTTTGGTTGGCGTTTTTGGAATGGAATTAGAGTCCATTCCATCCATTTTATTGTTTGGTTAGACAAATGTAGGTATGGAATCTCATACCAAGGTTTTCTAATTCCACCCCATTCTCCTGGAATCTCATACTCACCTTATCCCCTAAGATTCACAATTAATTCTTTTAATGAATTGTAAAAACCATTCCAAAGAATAAACCAAGTAAGTTTAGACAAGTATGGGGTTTAGAATCCATACCTCCCTAATATGAGATTTCATATCAATCCATTCCAATTTAACGAACCAAACGACTTAGTAAGCTAGGTATGGAAGATTATTGCATGTTTCATATGAGTAATAAACTAATAAGGTATATGATCGATGATTTGATGTTGTTATTACAACATCATTTAATAGCTAGGTGGCTGGCTTACTATATTACTCCGTACTACAGTTGATGGTCGATGATGACGAACATTGTACATTAATGATGTTGGAAAGGCTTTAAGTTTCATGATGTCATTAAATTGTTGGAATTGAATATATGAAGTACGTATCTTCATTTTATATATAAATGCTAATTCATTCGTAGCATCTTCTTGTCTAGTACTTACTACATACTATGCTGGTGTATCATGAAATGGATCATTGGATCGGACATAGAAAACCATGATAGAAAAAACAAATTTAACAATTAAAAAAAAAAAAGGTTGTATATTGATGATGTTTGTAACGTTTAAAATCAACCCTTTTTCTAAAAAATTAAATTTATGTACAAGTAGTAAAAGTACTGCGTATGATTATTATTTTTATTTTTTTTGGTTTTGTTTTTGTGGTGCCATATAAGTAATTTGAGATGCTTTGTTAAAATAATTTAAGTGGCCTAAATGTATTTCTTTTATTACCATATCCTGATCCGGTCAATACATGTTTACATGTAAACTCTAATTAGATGAATTAAAAAACACTAGGGAGTAGTTAATATGTTGTTAAATTGTAAATATATATATATAAAAGCATAAAAAAAAAAGCGATGAAAAATTTCTCCGTATGTACTTTAAAATTCAAAGGAAAATATTACGTAGTTTAATTTATCAATTGTTATACGTTGTGTTTGACACTCTAGAGTTGTCCATGCCGTATTGATCAATGTTTACTACTTAAAATACAAGTGAAATAGTTGAACGAAAAAAGTTATACATATAGACAATTTTGATCAATTTAATTATCCTTTGGAATTGAATTTCTTGTTTAGATTTAGTAGGTTCAACTGTCTAAACTCTAAAGCTTTTATCACCACCTTTTATTCTTTTTTGTAATTTGGCGGATCGTATACGTAGCCGCACTATGCATGCATGAAAAATTCAAATTCAAAGTCATAAATGTCCATAAAAAGGGTCAAAGTTTAAGAATGTAGAAAAATTGACACTTGCTAATTAAATTAAATACCCTCGAAATTCAATATTCTAAGCAAATTAATTAAAATGTAAGTTGATTATTATGGTATCCTTGTTTTTTTTTTGTTTTGTTATGGATTATTAATTATATGAAAGCAACTTGGATAGTGAAAATGACAAATGAATATACAAATAATGGAGCAAGTAAACATCCAATTTTTCTACTTTTAAAAAATATATAAGGATGATATAGGACGTGATTTATGTAAGCTTTTTAAAATTATAAAATATATGAAAATAAGAGATTTTCCTCCTTCTCAATTAGGGGAAAAACATACTTAAAGTTGGGGTGATCGACCTCCAATTATGGAAGAAACCTCTATCTTAATTAGGCAATCTCAAAATGCCACCCTCACGAAAATTAAATAATCGCAATTAGCGTAATCTTTATAAAGTGGAAGGAGATCAAGCCAGCTACGGAGATCTCAACCCATTAAAAAAATTCAGCAATTTAAGGAAAATAAAAAATAATCTGTATTGTCAAATAAACCATCACAATACTCCAACTATAATAAGAATTTGTCGCATTTTCTCCCATATGATTCACTTGTTTTCTCATGGGTGGTGCTCCCTCCTTTGTCGTCTCAAGATTCTCAACTCCATCTCCTTGTTTAGTTGTTCTTTTAATGAGTTAACAAGTTTAAGACTTGTTCTTTAGACAAAGGTCCAAATAAAGTCTAAGATTCGATTACTACTAATGACGATTAAAAAATATGAAATAAGTCTAATACGAAGTACGACTCATTAATAAATTGTTTTCCTTGTAATTTAAGAAACATCTACTTGTGATTTCTAGATAAGAAGGAATGGTGAGGTCAAAGTCTAATCAACATAAGTGGGCCCATTGGATCTGAAGTAGTTGGTCTAAACCGGCCCACTTCATCAATTAAAAAGGAAAAGGGCATATATTGCAATTCCAAATTTAAAGTAGACAAACAACTTTAATTAAGCTTATAATTTATTGGATGAAAAGTCCCCATCTAAAATTCTATTTCTTCCAAAATTAATTTTTCACAAACTTTATAGTAAAGCGAAATTTTATTTCATTTTCTCAAGTTTTTTGGCAACAAATAAAGTCTTCCTACTTTTTTCTTTTCCTTGTGAAGTTTAAAAAGGGAAAGAAAAATAAAAAGTTGAAAATCTTTTCTTGATTGTCTCTTTCACCAAAAACATTCGATACTTTTCTTCACCTAACACTTTTTCTACATTTTCATTATTTTATGTAGGAATTTGGCAATTTTATGCTGACATGTATTTCGGATGATCAACTCCATTAAGTTAATACCCTTAAAAAGGATACGTAACTACTATTAAATGACAATCTTGATCTTCCGTGGGTATTAGATAATGTTTTTAATAGTTTGTGGATTTGGGTTTCCCGTGGACGTCAACATTTATGTAAACAAGATTTTGATCTCATATGAATCATCATATCATAAATACTAGTATCATGTCTTATAGAGCAACTTTTATCAATACATTATCCGATACATATTTTACATTACTCCGTAATAACTTAATAAAAATTATTACTCCCTATTACTTTTCTATATCAGATCAGATCACTAATCTCCGATTTCATCCTCGGCCCATTTATATCAACTATAACAATTATTAAGATTAGACTTTTATTGTGCATTCATCTCATTTTATACAAGTATTTTACAATATGCTAAAGTCAAATGAATAGGACGCACTATCATAAAACACGGGACAAATTCACGAGAAAATTATAAATGTAAGGCGTCCATGTCAATAAACAACATGCAACATTCACACACTGGGCTCAAGCTCCCTGCCCTCTCTCAGTCATTCTATTTCAAATGTTGTCGCAGACCACACGCACATTCATACACTAACGCCTGAGCATAGCAGCCCTGCCCCTGCCCCTCGTAACATGCTGAAAATTTATACGTTGGGGGTACTTTGGTCATTTCACATTAGACCTAATTACCTTATTTACACCAATAAAAATGAGTTAATTAGATTTTTTTTTTGGAAACGAAAAGTAATTAAATTAAAAATAACAAAAAAGTTGGGGCGTAAGACAGAAAAAGGGGAGAGTGGGTAATGGTAATGATGACCACCTTCCGCTTCTAGTGCTAGATTCCATGACCCCCCCCCCCCTCCTCTCTTTCCCGCTTTTTTTAATTGCACTTTTTAGTTTTTTTTATTAATTATTTTTATTTCTTATGAAAATTAATTCCTTCAATTCTTATAATTCTTGTTATTGATAATTTTACTACATGCAACGTTTTCAATATTTTCATACAATTGTCGATAAAACTTACTGCAAGAAATTTACTCGTTTTACGTCATAAAATGAGTATGGTTTAGGTAGCCAATGGAAAATATTGTAGTCAAATTATATAAACCTCATTTTGGTGCATTGAAATTATGTAGGTTATGATTGTTATTTTAATTTTGCACATATAATATCATTAGTCCACCTAATAACTCGATAACCTTTTAGTTTAGTATTACTTGTTGATTATAACCTACTTTGCATTGTTTGTACCTATAATTTCAACAATCTACTTGAGGATTTTAAATTATTTTTTTCTAAAACCAAAGTTTAGGTCATAAAATGTTATTTAATATTGTTCGTAACGTCTAGATTTTATTTCACGAAAATAATTGAAGATCGATTCTCAATAGGCTAGTTTTGACAGCTTAATTACTTTATTGTGTGTTATCGGGATATCAGTTGAATGCATGTGCCACACATATAGTGTTTAAAAATCCGTTCACAATACGCGGTAGAACTAAACAAAGAAAGCATATTCAACACTCCTACACACATGCGATTTTGTTCTGATATTTTAAAAAAACATTTTATTGCATATTATCGGAAAATTAGTTGAGCACATGTATCGCGCATACAATGTTCGTAATTCTTATTCACAATCTACATGAGATTTAAACAAATTACCCAGATGCAACACTTCCCCAAGCATGCGATCTTCTTCCATAATTTTAAAGAATTCACTCCATATCTCCCAATTAACCTTCAACTAAATCAGGAATACATACATAAAAATTAAAATTGGCAAACTCTATTACCTTAATCACTAAATTTAATTATAGATAATAACAATATCAATATTAATATGGAGTAAGTAATAAACCATCATAATCACCAAAAATACCATCATCATATAATTCAAAAAAAAAACTTCCCAGAAACCACCACTCTTCAGTTTCTCTCTCCTCCACCTCTTTTTCTGCAGAAAACTTTGTTTAATTTTCCTGGCATTTTCTCTTTGTTTATCATCTTAAATTACCCACCAAAAATTTAATAATTCTGAATATTTTTCTGTCTTGATTTCTGCAAAATTTCATAAATCCCCCTTAATTTTCTCTCTCTTCCGCCATGGACGGCAACGAGTCTTTCTCTTTCCCTTTCTTCTTTCTCTCTCCTCATTAATTTCTCTGTTTTCTCTAAATTTCATGTAGTATTAAATTCAATTGAATCCCCCATTTTTTTCCCACGACCTAAGAAATCAAATCAAAATCAAAGTAAATTAATTACAGTAATTTATTTATTCAGAGATGCAAAACCCTTCACCTGAATCAGCTGGATGATATGACTCAAATTGTAGTATTTCTACTATCACTGCAATTTTCTCACTCTAATTTGAATTGGGAAATTAGGGTTTTTAATTTAATGGGGTGTGGAACTTCAAAAGCTGAAGATCTACCATTGGTAAGTTTTTGTAGAGAGAGAAAAGATTTGATTAAATCTGCTTCAAATCATCGTTTTGCTCTTGCTGCTGCTCATATTGCTTATTTTCGTCAATTGAAAGATGTGGGTGATTCCCTTTGTAAATTTGTTGAAGAAGAATTGATTCTCTCTGCTTTTAACTCTTCATCTTCTTCACCTTCTTCGCCTTCTTCTCTCTCCTCCCCTGTTCTTACGCTTCCTTCTGATGAACCCAAGAAGAAGCCGAAGAAGGGGTTTCATACTAGCAATAAGAAGGTGAAATCCAAGAAAGGGTCTTCTTCTTCGACCTCGATTTCTCATAATTTGAGAGGGGTTGATGGTAATGATCAGAATTCTCATTTGCATTTATCTGATGATGAAGATGATGATGGTTTAGAGAAGGATGATATCGGTTCGTCTTTTGATCACCGGCATTCAAATTCCGGGCATTTGGATATTGATGATGATGATGAAGATGAAGAGGATGAAGATGAACATGAACATGATTTGAAGAGAGAGAAAATGAAGAAGAAAGGAGGAGAGAGAAAGAGGGTTGAATCTCCTCAACCTGGGATTTCTTACATTCCTGATTCTGAGTTTTCTGGTATTGCTAGTAATTATCCTTACCCTTTTGATTATTCTTATGTTACTGGTAATATTAATAATAGTAATAATCATCCTTATTATCAACCTCCTCAAAATGTTGATAATGCTGGTATTCCACCTTATTATTATACAAATCCTAATGTTGGTTCATATTACCCTGATAATGGTTATAGTAGTTATGATTATAATGGTGGAAATTATAATTATAATGGTGGGAGTAATTCGTATGGTACAACAACGTCATATACAACTTACTATATGAAGAAATCTTCAACTAGGATTCCTTCCGTTATTTACGAGGAGCCTAAGCAGAATCCGGTGTATGCTTACTCTGAGTATAATGGTCAGTCGAGTTATTCGAATTACTCGAATTTCGGGTTTAGTACGAATTCGGAGAGTAGGGGGAGCAGTGTGCCACAACAGCCACAGCCACAGCCACGGCGGCCTCCAACACCGCCTTCGCCTAAGGTGTCAGCCTGGGATTATTTTAACCCGTTTGAGACTGTGGAGGGTGGGGGTTATTTGGGTTATTTTGGTCAGAATCCGGGTTATGGGTTGGGGTCGAACTCCAGTAGTCCTGATTCGAGGGAGGTAAGGGAGAGGGAAGGGATTCCAGAGTTGGAAGAGGAAACTGAGAGTGAAGTCAGTAAGGAGCCTTATTACTATGATAAGAAGAAAGTGCAAGAAGAGTTTAGTTTTCCCAAAAGTAAGAATAAAACAGTTCAATTTGAGGATGGGAAGGGAAAGAGTAGGAAGAGTAGTGGTAATTTTGGTGAGGGTACTTCGAAGGGGGCGAGGGCGAGGGTGCCTTTGCAGCATCCTCAAAGGGAGGAGCCGCAACCGGAGGAAGCTGTAGAAGTAGAGAAGGAGGCAGAGATAGTTGAGGTTAGAGATGTGAAGGGGAGAAGCAGCATTAGTAGTCCTGAAACTGAGACTAGCATTTCCACTAGTATAGAGGATGTGTCTGTTAAGAAGAGAGGGGTGAGCTTTGATGTTGGAGGGAGTGGAAATGGAGGCGGAGGAGGACCTTCGTCTCTTGATATTGAATCATCTAAGCCAAGTAGCTCCACAATGTTGTCAACCAATGGCACCCGTGATCTTAGAGAAGTTGTAAGGGAAATCAAAGATGAATTTGTGGCTGCTACTGATTATGGGAAAGAGGTCTCTGTGTTGCTTGAAGTGGGGAAAGAGCCATACAAGTCTCGCTCCTCCTTTTTGAAAGGTATGAGAACTCAATTACTCTTTCTACTCATTACTGTTAAAATGTCTCTTGTTAATTCTCTATGTAAACAGCTTGTTTTATTTATGGGTTCTTGTGCTATCATTTTGTTTGTGTTTTGGCTTGTAATTGTCAATTGTGTTCTGCACTGGTCCTTGTGATGGAAGTAATTAAAATTAAGAGGAAGAGAATTATTTGCGCTTACTTGGGGCTGCATCGCTAGGAATTTACCAAGAGGAAATTTGATAAAATGTGTACAGTTTGGTTCTACCACACAAAAATTTTAGTGCTCACTATCCTCATCTCTTTACAAATTAATTTCCCAGTTATTGTGAGCTTAGTCGGGAGCCAGGAGTGAATTTACTTTTCTGAATATGATAACTATACATGCAATGGATGCAATGTCCATATTTTTTTGGTAAATTATCCAATTGGATTAGTTATTTCTTTGCTAATAAGGAAATATACTTGTCTTTACAGTGATTTTGGCCAGGGTCTGCTCTACATCACTGTCATCTTCGTATTCTCCATCTTCCCTGCCTGGAGGATATCCTGGGAATGCTGATGAGGATTTTGACTCTCACAGCCTGGCATCAGCTCTGGAAAAGCTATATATGTGGGAGAAGAAACTATACAAGGAAGTCAAGGTATGCGTTTGATGTATATTCTCTACTTGTCTTGGCATGGTGGCTGTATTTCTCATTGTTTTACAGTTCACTCTCTCTTCTCATGCCTTGCCCTGTCTTTAAGAACTGTGTATCCGTGCATGAGTTAATTTGTCATTTCGTACAACAGGTGGAAACACAAACTGTAAAAAAAAGTAGGGGTCTCTAGCTTTTACAAAACGTTTCTATAAACTGACTAGGATCTCACTGTTTGGTTTTGAAGATTATAACTAGTCAGGCTAGACAAAAGTCCATGTAGATTTATTAACAATTTTGCTGTCCTGTCTCAAATTTCTTGTTTTTCATTACTTTGCAAAGCTTTTCCAATGTTTACTGTAGGGTTTTTGACTAGTAATGGTGTCTTAGATTAGTCGGACATCAGTTGTGTCTTCCTTGCAACATTTACTTCAATAGGTTTTGATTCATGCTATTGTGTTTCAAATGTTTACACTGTTTTCTCCTATTACATTCTTGTTTGAGAAATCTGCGCACTGTAATTTGGAAATTTTAGTACACTTTTGTTACATTCTTGCTCAATTTGTTTAGGGCGTTGTGCTGGTTTTAGGATGAGGAGAGGCTTAGGGTTCTGTATGAGAAGCAGTGCAAAAAGCTGAAAACTCTGGATGATCAAGGTGCGGAGATTAGCAAGATTGAAGCTACTCAGGCTTCAATAAGAAAGATGCTGACCAGGCTTAATGTCAGCGTCAGAGCTGTAGATTATGTATCCCGCAGGATACACAAATTGAGGGATGAAGAATTGCAGCCTAGAATGAAGGAATTGATTTATGGGTACGAAATTCTTTTCTTTGATGTTTACTTTGTACCTATTCATGCTGTTTGTGAGAATTGTGACTGATTATGCATGGTGCTTTTAGCATGTGTTAAATTTATTGTATTTGTTAGTCAGAGGTTGGTTATATTTGATATTCAGTCTCTCTATTGCTTATTTTATTTTTTTATTTCCTATTATCCTCTCCCAAGGGGTTTAGCAGGCAAGTCATGCATACGTCATGTTTTCTTAATTTTGTAGATAATTTTTCCCAATGCTGGTGTCACTTAATATTTGTAGGTTGTGTTCTTGAATTTATATCCGTTATAAGATAGTGGACTCTTGATGAAGAATGCTAGTGATATTTTAAAATATTGATAGGAATTTGGAATTTTAATCATTACTTTCGTATTTCACTTAATATTGACTACTGTTTCCCATGCTTCCGTGGCAATCTTTAGGTTTTACCTCTAGAGATTATATTATTGTGTAGGCTAGGAATGTTTATATTGTTAACAGGTTGTAGCTTTAGAACTTATTTGATCCACCTTGTTGATTTTTGTCAATCTTGTAATTCCATATTGTTCTTATAAATAACACTGTATTGAGTATAATTAGCCCACTGCTTTCCTGCAGATTGAGAAAGATGTGGAAGCTGATGCTTAAGTGTCACCAGAAGCAATTCCAAGCTATCCTAGAAAGTAAAACCCGTGCACTAAAAGCAAATACCGGAATGAGAAAAGATTCAAGTGTGAGGGCTACAATTCAGCTTGAAGCAGAACTATTAAAATGGTGTCATCGATTTAACAACTGGGTTGATATGCAAAGGTCCTATGCCGAGACTTTAAATGGCTGGCTTGAAAAGTGTATTCATTATGAACCTGAAGTGACCGCAGACGGTGTCATCCCTTTTTCTCCTTCCCGAATTGGTGCCCCGCCAGTGTTTGTAATATGCCATGACTGGAAACAAGCTATGGAAAGAGTATCAGGATCGGAGGTACAAACGGCAATGAACGATTTTGCTACAAGCTTGCATCAATTGTGGGAGCGGCAAGATGAAGAGCAACGTCGAAGGGTGAAAGCAGAGAACATGTACAAAGATTTTGAAAAACAAATCCGAGGCATTAAAATGAACAGGCAAAGAAGGGGACATGATCACGATGATGCCTTGTCAGACAAGAATAGTCTCTCAATGATTGCTTCTGAAAGTGGGATTTCCCCCCTCGATGATCTAAAGGTGGATTTAGACTCAATGAGACAGAGAGTAAGGGAAGAGAGAGCAGGCCACAAGGAAGCTGTTAAACTAGTCCATGATGCAGTATCTCGCTCCATACAAGCTGGTTTGATTCCGATTTTTGAGTCGCTGGAGAGTTTTACTTCAGAAGCTTCGAAAGCTTTTGATGATGTCAGGTTAGAACATGGCAGTAGTTCATGAGAAATCATGTACCTTTGTCCTTAATTAAAATAGTTGGATTAGGTTAGAAGTAGAAAGACGAACATAGACCTTAGGCAATGGAGTAAATCGATAGTACAGCAACTGATTACTGCTAGGTTTCCGGAAGTTGCAGGAGTTTGTTGTGAGTCTGATATCTGCTTCTGCAACAGCTTAGAGGTAGCAACTTGTACAGAATTTTGTCTATTAATTTCATTCGTTCAGATCGAAGAACTAGTGTCAGATATGAAGCAGTGAAGGAATATATTAGCTTGCCAATTGTCAAATATGTAAACATTATATTGGTCCATGGTCTAATTAGTGTTTAATCTTCCATCTGAGCCATTTAAGATTAGACTACGAAGTACAGTGTGCATCTCAGTGTTACTTTTTACTTGTGTAGCGGCAGCATCTTTGTTTGTTCTAGTAAGCATCTGGTGGTGGTGTGTCATTTGTTGGAGGCGGCGGCAGGCCTGATGTTTTCAAAACTCTCTTTTGTTGAGTGCTATAGATGAGACATTGATGATCATAGTTTGAAAATTGAATATATTTAGAAAATTCAGGCGAGAAAAAAAAAATTAGTACTATTTAGTAATTGTAAAACAATCAATTATTTGAATATATCAACAAAATCATTTGAATTATTCAGCTAATGATTCGAACCAAAATAAAAAATTTAAGCTTAACAGTTGGTTCATGCTAACCATGCCCACCAGCAAACTCTTACATATACCCTGTCACCCTGATACAGCAACCCTTCCTAAATACACCATACATTCTCTACCAAGGGCACAAATTTGATGACATTCACTACCAAGGGCACAAATTATTCTTCTTAAGGTGTGAATGTCATCAAATTTACAATATTCACTTACCCTAATAGTAGTATATATATGATGCATATCTCAACCACGTTTCGAAAATTATCAAACATCTAATTTTGAGGCAACCTTGAACGGATAAGAAAGACAAGAATGTGTTCGTTGTTTTGCTGGTCCTTTATTAAAAACATTTGAAACAAAACTTCCTTGGGTTTTTTTTTTTATATATAGCAATACACATCACCGTGCATCAAAAAGCTCCCATACTAAAACCTCCATAATTACTCCATATACTTCACCAACAATAGATTATATAGCATACCCTAATCATATGGATCCTTGTAGAGAGAAATATGTACATAATTGTACTCTAGCCTCAATCAATAACTTTATAATAAAGGCGAAACCAGAAATGACACTTGTCATTTTCTGGTTAAAAACTTCCTAGCCTTTGTTTTCTTTCCCTTTTTTTTTTTTTTTTTTTTTTTGCCAAATTTTAATGACATTCATTTTATAACCTACAATAATACTTACTAGATAAAAGCTAGTGCGATGCACGGTTTTTTCATCTAAGGTTTTTAATTATTTGATTTATTGTACTTAATAATTTCAAACAAAATAACAAAAGTTAAATTTTTTTTTTTAACTATAATTTCTTCAGTGAGTAGATGATTTGCTGCTCTTCTAGTTAGAGAAGGACTTAGACCTACCGTTAATATTACAACATTATTCATTATAATTGAATTTATTAAATATAAATAAATTATAAGTATGATATTTCATTTGTTACCTAAAATCTTTAATGTGAAAAGATAAATTTTTAATTTTTTAAATAATTTAAATCCTAAATCATTATTCATTGTTTATGTTAGCAAAAATAAAATTGATATAAATTAAATCTTTACATTTATATAAAGTAAATTTAAATAATTTAAATCCTAAATCATTATTCATTGTTTATGTTAGCAAAAATAAAATTGATATAAATTAAATCATTACATTTATGTAAAGTAAATCAATATATTTACTAATAAATGAAAAATTGTTGCGAAATTGATCAAAAAATTGTAATTGTATAAAATCAAATCTATGCATTGGAATTTTTTCTCATCTCCAATAATAACGAAAGCCATCCATATAATAAGTATACACCATCAAATCGTGTGCCATTTGCCTTAGCTTCTTCTTACAATTTTTAAAATTAATTTGAAATAGTTGCATTAAATATATGTATAAAAGCCAAAAAATTAACTTGAATAGTTGCATCAAATCGAGTACTTTACAAATTAATTTCAACCACATATGCTTGACAATGCTCAACATAAAATTTCTTAGTAACTAAACTAAGCTAGTCAACAATTAGCTAGCTTCCACATTGTTATATTTTGTTTACAATGTCGTGGAGAATATACATCCATTACATTTTTAATCAAAAGTAGTATGATATGAATTGCATCAATGAGATCAAGACCACTAATTGTAATTAAAATGCGGTCCATCCCTGTGTTTATTCATGCATGGAACTTTTATAAAATCATTATAATGACAAAAATCAACGCATTGGATTGGAACGATTGAAAAGTATCTAAAGAAGTAAACTTTTCCTTCAATCGATTTTGGATGAAAGTGTTGAACAAAGCTGGTGTTAATTGAGACATGAACGTAATCACCCTATAATTAAAAATAAGAAATTAAGTTATTTTAATAACTTGATTAAGCCACTTAAATTACAAATTTTATTTTATTTTTAATAAAATTAATTAATAAAAAACTAAAGATGTTTATAAAAAAATATAATAAATGTAAATTAAATAATTTATTAAAAAAAAAAATACCTCCTCTTCCATTAGGACCATATCCAAACTTTTAAGCTATGTTGTTTACAGAAATTTAGTATGTCAAATAGGTGAGAAACTTGTACTTTGATTTTCCAATCATTTTTGCTCGAATTTAATTCTCTAATTAAATTAGATCTGCATGTAAAAACAAAATACAGTAAGCAAAACATAAACAAATAATCGTTAAGTATCCCAAATAAATACAATGTAAGTACTAATTACAAATATAAATTTAAACATAGGATTGTAAAAATTACCCGGACATTAATGACCTAAAACTAACACAAAATTACTAACACAAATTCGCTAGATGGAGTTTTGTATTGATACAAATTTTGTTGGTGTCGTATGATGCGTTAGATGTGCATGTAAAAACAAAATTTAGTAAATAAAACATAAACCTATAATCGTTAAGTATCCCAAATTAACACAATGTAAGTAATAATTACAAATACAAATTTAAACATAGGATTTTAGAAATTAAGCTAAAAACTACCCGACCATTGATGACCAAAAACTAACACAAAATTCAATTGATGGGGTTTTGTATTGATACGAAATTTTGTTTGTGTCGTATGATGTGTCCATTTATAATGGTAGGTATCACAAATTTTGATTTAATTATAATTAACGAACAATTTTTATTTCTTATCATAAATACTATTAAAAATTATCTTATAATGGTAGGTACAAACTTTATTATAATTGTTTATCATTTGAATATTTTTTATTTATTTTATTGGGTTATCATGAAGTCATATTCTCATTCCATGTATATCTACATGTACTCATAAATTATCATATTATAGTTACGTATTTTTCTATTTGAATCCACCATATTTCTCCACCATATCATAAATTAAAAAAATTAATATTTGAACCCACCATATTTCTCCACCAAGTTTAGTTACGTGAAGATAATTTTCACCATATCATAAATTTAAAAAAAAAAAAATTAATATTTAAACCCACCATATTTCACCACCAAGTACAGTTACGTGGAGATAATTTTTGAAGAGTAGGATATTTTCATAATTTGAACCCAATCAAATATCTTTTTGGAGATTTATCTTTTCCTATATTTTTTTGTATTTCTTATACTCGTAGTATTGATTTAATGAATTTATCTTTTCCTATATTTTTACTTTATTTATTTCCATTAAAATAATTTAATTCTTAGATTATAATCTACATGGCATTAAAATTTTAGATATATCAAATATAATTCGTTACTTTTATCTAGATGGCAATATAATTTTTTAATTCAAAAATAAAATAAATTTTTTTTCTTATTGGTCGAAATAATTATATTTCTTACATGGCTCTCCGAATGCTCTCCAAAAACGCCTACTTTATTTATATATATATTAGATTTGATTTCCATTTGACAACGTATTTAATCCAATTATACTCAATTATTTTTTTTTACATATATTCTACTGTATATAATAGGAAACTTTTAATTACAAAAATACTAACATAGATTAAAAATAAGGTATTGTAATATATTGTAATATCAATCAATCAATCAATCATCAATAACTTTATACTAAAGGCGAAACCTGAAATGACACTTGTCATTTTCTATTAAATTTATGACATCCATTTTATAACCTACAATAATACTTATTTTCATTTTGACAACATATTTAATCCAATTATACTCAATTAATTTATTTTACATATATTCTACTGTATATACTAGGAAACTTTTAATTACAAAAATACTAACATATATTTTAAGAAAAAAGGGTATTTTAATATCAATCAATCAATCATCAATAACTTTATACTAAAGGCAAAACCAGAAATGACACTTGTCATTTCCTGGTTAAAAATTTTCCCTCCTTTGTTTTCTTTCTTTTTATTTATTTATTTATTTTTTTGCTAGATTTTAATGACATCCTTTTTATAACCTATAATAATACTTATTTCCATTTTGACAACGTATTTAATCCAATTATACTCAATTAATTATTTTTACATATATTCTACTGTATATACTAGGAAATTTTTAGTTACAAAAATACTAACTTAGATTAAAAATAAAGTATTGTAATATATTATTATCCAAGATTATTATAATATTATCAAATTTTTTTCTCCAACTTTTATTATTTGACAATAAAATTTATTTTAAATAAAAAAGAAAAATCACTTAAAATTAGATATAACTTTTATAAGAACAACCGAACAAAATTATATATTGGAAAATTCAATCTAATTACTATAAACATTTATGTGATTATTAAAAAAAATTAAAAACCCATACTACTCACTAAAAAATGTATTTAAAAAAGTTGATTACGGAATACTAATTATCTTAAAGTAAAATAAATTCAACTAAATTTTCATATAATACCGATCAAAGTGTGTCAACAAAATATAAGGGCAAATGTATATGAGTTTGTATATGGGAACTAACCTAAGCTAATATTTTCATTCATTTATACAAAACCTTAAAACTTCTTATTTCTATTACTATTTTATACAATCCAATTCAATAACATGTACGTATTTGGTATTAGTATAAGTTAAAATTCAAGTTATTTTGTTATAAATATTATTTTTGGATAAATTATTGTTGAATTAATACCATTATTTATAATTTATTTGTTGTAAACTGTAATTATGATCGTGCATGACACGGGACTTACCTAGTTACCACAAATTCCAACCCTTTGTTTCACTAATTCTACCAAATATGTGTCACTTCTCACCTAGTTGACGTATTTGATAATATGTGTTAGTATTATGATCCATAATACTCGTACTTTTTTTTATAAGAATTAAGTTTAGTAAAAATAAAATAATGTAGTTTCAATTAGTAAATATCAATAAACTTCAAAAAAAGAAACATAATATTTAATCAATTAACAAAATTTAAATTTCTAAAAATAATTTTAATTCAGCGATAATAATTCAATGTAAATAAAAATAATTTAAATTAAACAATAATATTTTAAGTTTGGTAAAACATAAGGCCAAGAGAGTAGGCTAGAATTTCTATGTTTATAAATTGCTAAAAATAAATGGTATATAAATCCCTTAAGATTTGGAATCAATTAATTAACTAGCCAAATAATCAATCCTTTCTCTAATTTTTGAAAATCACACTTTTCATACTTGTATAATAATAATATAATGTGAAAGTATAAATTTGATATTTCATAGTATTTGGAAATTAGAGGATTTTATATATTTATACAAGATCTTAACAAGAAATCTCTCCCAAAAAAAATCTCCACTAGGAAAAAAATACTTCATTTTTTTTGACAATTACGTGGCAAATAACGATTGGACAAACCTCGTCATATTTTATCACAATTATTAATTAAATACGAAGTACATCCATAATCCTATACGTAGAAATACATTAAAGCCGTAGATAATTCTTAAAACAAAAAAAAAAATCTCCACGAATCACCACCCAATCAAAACATGCCATGTCAAAACTCTGACCTCTAAGAAACCAAGTTACACGCAAAAAAATGCAAAATAAATAAATAAATAATAAATAATAATAATAAAAAAAAACTTTCTCTCTCAACAGAGAGTTTACACGTGATTCTTACATTTTTGTCCTACTTTCTCTCTCCTCCACTTCTATTTCTCTCTCTTGTTATAAACCTGCAAAAAATACTTGCACTGAACTCACACAACTTAGAAAGAGTTTTTTTGAGGAGAGAGAAAATTTTGGGGGAAAAAATGGCGATTTCTAAGGTTTCATTCCTCCTTGTTTCTCTCTTAGCTTTGTTCGCTTCGATCTCTGCTTCTGAGTCTACCGATTCATCTGCATCGTCTGATGCTAAGGAGTTTGTTCTTACTCTCGATCACACTAATTTCTCTGAAACTGTCGCTAAACATGATTTCATTGTCGTTGAATTCTACGCTCCATGGTATGATTTTTGTTGATTGTTTTTGATGATTTGTTATTATTTTATGATTTGCGATTTGTTGATTATTGTTGTGTGGATTTTGGAAGTGATTGAATTTTCGTTTTTTCTGTGATTTGATTGTTTTTTGTGAGGAATTTGGAGAAAATTGCTTGATCGGATAGTGATTGGCTGATTGTGAGTGTTAATTATTGGAAGGTTTAATCATCAGTGAGTGCATTGATATCTGTTATAAATAATTGTTTTAGGATTTTTTGAATTTGATGGGTAAATTTTCTGAATGTTAGATCTATATTGTGTTATTTTGAAGGTGGCATTATTATTTTGTCTGATGAATTTGGTTCTACTTTTAATCGGTAAAGATTGGTGTTGATCTAGTTATTATTGGTAAAAAAACAAAATAGGACTACAATTTTAGTTTTGGAAATTTAGGCGAAGAAAGCAAGGTCAAAGTTGCATATGAAGTGTTAAAAGTTGAATTTTGTGGATTTATTTTTAAAGGTTTATGAAATAGTAAAAAGTCAAGTTTAAGAAGTTGACTGGATTGCTAAGATTTTGATGCAATATAACTGTTTTCCTGTTTGGAGTCATATGATCTGTTTCATTAATTATAATAAAATGGAACTTTTTGTTTGCAAGACATTACTTGTGTCGTGGAATTAAGGGAATGTATCTGCAATTACACCTTCCGGCTTTTAGTTTATCCATTTCTCATCATTCGCATTTCCTAATTTGGTACAACTTGAATGGCTGATTACGTTTTTCGTTTAGTTACGCAACTAGTTGAGAATGTCATGTGATGCTAATTCGATCATTGATTTCTACCCTACAGGTGTGGACACTGTAAGAGTCTAGCTCCCGAGGTAATTGTGGTTCCTTGTTTTGATTTTAACAATCTTAGTTGCAATGCATGATTAAACAATGTCGCTGTTTGTGGTTCCATTAGCTAACTTGTTATGATTTTTTTGATCAAACTTGTAGTATGAGAAAGCTGCATCCTTGTTGAGCAGTCACGACCCTCCAATTGTTTTGGCAAAGGTTGATGCCAATGAGGACTCAAACAAGGAACTTGCTTCTGAATATGATGTTAAGGGTTACCCTACACTGAAGATTGTGAGGAATGGTGGGAAATACATTCAGGAGTACAAGGGTCCAAGGGAAGCTGAAGGAATTGTTGAGTATTTGAAAAAGCAAAGCGGTCCTGCATCTGTTGAGATTAAATCTGCTGATGATGCTACCACTCTCATTGGGGATCAAAAAGTTGTTATTGTGAGTTGTAGTTCTTCCCCTTATATTCTCATTTCTGTTTTTGTTTTTTGTGTTTAGCTATTCATATATTTCGTCGACTTCAGGTTGGGATATTCCCAGAACTCTCTGGTGAGGAGTACACTAGCTTCCAAGCCTTGGCTGAGAAGTTGCGCTCAGACTACGAGTTTGGTCACACTACTGATGCGAAGCTCCTACCAAGGGGTGAGTCATCTGTGAAGAAGCCCACCCTTAGGTTGTTCAAGCCTTTTGACGAGCTTGTGGTTGACTCTCAGGTATAGCAAGTTACTCATTTCAAATTTCTTGCAACATAGCAGTTTCTTACGGTAATTCCGTGTGCTAATGAAACCTTGTGATAATATGTAGGATTTTAATGCGGAAGCTCTGGAGAAGTTTGTTGAAGAATCCAGTACTCCTACTGTGACTATCTTCAGCAAGGACCCAGCACACCATCCCTATGTTATTAAGTTTTTTAACTCTCCCAATGCCAAGGTATATGTTTTGTTTCTTCTGTACAAACTTGATGGAATTGTCCATGAATGGTTTTGTAATGAATCATCACATGTTTGGTCATAACTAATTTTTCTGATGGACGTGAGCATTTTAAGTATCACATAGAACATTGATTCTGATATGCACATGTGGAGTGTGCAATTTCGCGTAATTATCTTATTGCTTTCAAACACCAGCAATTTGGCTAACAGCAGAAAATTTTGTTAAGAAACCCTTTTTTGTCCATGATTACATTTTGTATTTTGAAGTTAAAAGTACCTAAGTATCCACCAAGTTGGATCTTTATCTGCGCTGTGAGGCACTGCCTCCCCTGTTTGGATTTGATGCTTATGAATTGTATGTCTGGATTTTCTATTGCTTTTATTTATAATTCTCGTCTTAATCTGTGTGGAGATGTCATGTTATTGAGGTTTATTATTAGTTGTAGTCATTGTAGTGTCAGAATCGTCATTTAAATGTTTACTTAATGACTTTCTAGTTTTGCTTCTGTATGATATCTTTAACAGAACTGTAGTCTAAACCGGGGGTATCTTTTTCATCGCCACCCGTGACCTCATGGGGCAGTGCCACAAGTGAACTTGATTTGTGCACACTTCTAGCGGACTAAATGTTTATTATGTTGAATTTTTGACTAATTTTTCTGCTGTGCCAACTGTTATCCTGTTATTTCCGTCACTTCACCTTTTGTAGATCTCTCCTCATTGTTTTATGGCTTACAAAGGTTGTTTTGAATTGGATCAGGCCTTGTTGTTCATGAACTTCAGCATTGATTTTGATTCATACAAGTCAAAATATGAACAAGTTGCCAAAGAATACAAATCAAAGGGTATTAGCTTTTTGTTGGGGGACCTTGATGCCAGTTCTGGAGCACTCCAGGTAAATTCAAATTTCTGTATTTTCTTGCTAATTTTGTGCTGTCATTGTCATTGACACTATGAATTAACTGGTATCATTTCTTTTTTTCAGTATTTTGGACTTAAAGAGGATCAAGTACCTCTCATTATTGTCCAGACCAACGATGGAAAGAAATACGTTAAAGATAAAGTGGAGGCTGATCAAATTGCATCATGGATCCAGGATTACAGTGTAATTTATTTTCTATTAGCATTTTCAGTTTTTTTGGCTCTAGTTGAGGTTTTGCTAGTAAAAGTTATTTATGCGTGAATAAGTGCATAACTGGACAATGATGTGATATTGCAGGAAGGCAAGGTGGCCGCACACAGGAAGTCAGAACCCATCCCTGAAAGCAATGATGAACCTGTGAAGGTGGTTGTTGCAGACACCCTTCAGGATATAGTTTTCAACTCCGGCAAAAATGGTAAGGATGTTTGTGTGCCCTATTGTGTTTCCTTATTGAGGCCCATGTTTATTTTTACATGTATTTATCATTTTTAATTACTACAGTTTTTTTGGAGTTTTACGCACCCTGGTGTGGACATTGCCAAAAGTTGGCTCCGATCTTGGATGAAGTTGCCGTTTCCTTTGAAAATGATAAAGATATCGTCATTGCCAAGCTTGTAAGAATATCTCCTTGTCACTTGAAGAACTTTCCCTGTTCTGTTTTTAGGAAAACTTCTTTCTGCTCTAAACTTTATTCAATCTTTATTAAGTTATGTCTGCTGTTTTGAATGTGTAATTTGCGTATACATTCTAATTACAAGACCTGTTAACATCAAATATTTTCTACCAGATGATGGCTTGTCATCATTTTCTAGTTTGACATGAGCCGTTTTTGTGCCTCCTAAGCGTTTGATAGTAACTTGAATAATATTTACAATAAATCTACTTTGTATTTGGCAAGTGTTGTCATATTTACGAGTCTTAGAGAACATCTTAGATTGGTTAAAGCTAATTTGAGCTTGATGAATGCAGGATGCTACTGCAAATGATCTCCCAGATGACACTTTTGATGTCAAAGGTTACCCAACTTTGTATTTTAGAACAGCAAGCGGGAATGTTCTATCATATGATGGAGACAGGACCAAGGAAGAAATCATTGATTTTATTCAAAAGAACAGGGACCCAGCTGCTAAGCAATCTTCTATTGAGGAAACTTCATCTGAGCAAACTTCATCTAAGGACGAGTTGTAATTTAGGTAAAATTTTTACTCTGTCTCATTTTGATTTCAATAAATGGTGGGAAAAGTTTACAAATGAATGCAGACTAGTTATGCTATCAACTTGCACCATATTCAAAGATTATCGCCTTTTTAATTTATCAAGGCTAGAAATTTTGTGTGCTACTCTAAATATTGATTTAATTGGAATGTTTTCATATGTTTAGTAGTTGAAACTCATTTTGGCAAATTATAATGTGGAATGAGCTTTTTAACCTCCAAAATCAAATTATTTTACGTCAGTACTCCTTGAAAGTTTTGAGGTTAATTTTGCATCAGAATGATTTTTGTAGATACATGTAACCATATGCATTTTTATGGACATGGTAAACTGCCAGATACTAAGAAGCTTTGGTTTTTCCTTTCTACAGGAAAAAGGATTAAGATGGTGGAATTCATGGACAGGAACTTAATTTATACCACAGAACGTTCATCGATTAGCTATATGTTAGATTCGCGACATAAGCTAGCGTGGTGGTCTGCCCCGGCTTTTGCCATCTTCCTGATTATCCTTATCGTTCTCGTTACTTTGTATCATGCACTCTCTTTCTCTCTCTCTCTTTTCTGTAATAAATTTAAGGCCTTGCTTTGTGGCTTTTTAGATCTGACGATTTTGGAGGTAGTTTAATTAGTCAAGGTGTATCGTCGAGATCTGAAGTTGCCATGGATTTTTGATAGGAAGTATGTTTATGTTAGTTAACTTCATTTTGCTGGCCCATTCTCACTCTGAGAGTTCTCGATCTTAAGTCACTTATTTCATGTACTGCTAAAAATTCTAGCCTTGCTTTTAACAAGTCTAATTGTGGATTTTCAATATCTCATGGCTTGTTGAAGGAACAATAGAATGTCGATGCTCTCTTTCTCTCCTCTTTCAGTAGAGGAATATTAGCTCAAGTGTTCGATCCCTTATCCTTTTTTTTTTCCCCCCAATATAACCAAGAACAATTGTGGAATGAACTTGAGGTGATGTGTTCCCAACACCCAAGAACCAATGTAGAATTTACAGTACTATTTAGAAAATTGTAAAAGAGCTATTCATAAACGATTCTTACTCACAAATCACAATGCCTAATCAAACCATTCAGCATATAAATGGGTTTGGATTAAAAGACTGACCTGTATAATCGACTTCAAAATTAACACCAGCTTGAAATCAGCTTATAGTACAAATGTACAATGGAATATAATGAGACATGGCCTGAAACTGATCAACTGAGTAGAAAGTTTTGAGTTCCTTGAAGTCCTTTGACTCCTTGCGACGATTTTCCTCGCTATCCTTTTCTCGACTTATTGTCTTGTGTCCACTTTACACTCAAGTGTACCATTTATCTAATACCTCGTATATATTCACTTTTTCGCTTATTAGTTCGCAAATGAATTTTCCAAATTCACAAAAATGGCCAATGACTCAAAGAGTATATGTTTTTGGTGGACATGACTCAAGAGTATATACATGTATGATGGAAATTGTCCCTGAATTGAAATTTTGAACTAAATCTTTGATAGAACATTTTGCCATGAGTCTGATACATAATGGTTAATTGTTTACATCAAAAGAATATATCACTTGTTATCTAATGTATTTGATGTAAATTTTGATGGATTTAAGCTTAAAAATAAAATGTTGGCATTAAGGTTGAGATTATTATTGATGATCAAGATTTCCCTCAAGCCTATCTATGCCAGTAGACCTGTAGTATTGATCTTAATATCCTTTAAACAATACGGAGTAATAAAAAATGCGTAGAGAAGTCTTTCTATAAAATGTACCATTACTAAAGATCCATCAATACATGTAAATCAGAATTTCTTAGAAACATACACCACATTGCTTGAATTCTTATCAGCGTGATTCTAACACTCCAAACTACTTAACAAGCTACAACAAAAAGACAATTTCTTGAGGTCCAAGGCTCATACAAGCATATATTTGATTTGAGGGAAAAAAAAATCATCTAACTTTAATTTGTGCACTTGTACCAAAGGGATTTATGACTCGACTTTAAGGAAATCTAGCCAATGAAACCTCCTAAGCCATACTCATGCTACTGTAAGTCTGTAACTGATCTCGCTATTCAATTCATATCGTCAAGTATAAGATTGCTTATCAAAAAAGAGGGTAAGAAGATTTGAAATCGTCTACTAGTATAAAAATAAAGTTTTCGTTTGGTTCTTCTATCAAACTGGCTAATAGGGTGCAACATTTCTTTAACTTCATAAACTCTGCCTAAATTAAGATGGATTTATTCACATTACAAGTTCATCTTGGATATTTCAACAAATTTCTCTATTTCATAGCTAATTTTATTGGTTTCATCTTCATTGGAATTGCTGGTGTAATCTTCACGATGATCAGCAATAATTTTTATAATTTCTTCCTTGGAAATTTTATTGTCATTTGCTGCTAAAAAGTTGCTCTTTTTATTATTTTCTTCACTTTCAGAACTTGTACTTGGTGTAGCTTTGAAGACACGAGGTTGCAACTTCTTCAAATCCGATAATCTTACTGGTTTTAGCAAGAATTCCTCTGCTCCTTCTTCTAGACACCTATTCAAAGTTCATTGCAACAATTTTTATTATTACGGAGTACTTTGCTTGTACATGTAACATATAGACAAATGGTCTCTATTTCGCAAAACTAGTTAAATGCGAAGTAGTTGAAAATTAAGAAGTTGCACAATGTCGATGATGTATGATATAAGTAATTATAAAAAATATCCTATTTGAAGTTTATAAGTTTCATATATAGGAATACTTGATTGAGTAACAAGAATCTTTCTATACAAGTATTTATTTATTTTATTTTATTAATTTAACTAAATTGAACTAATTTCTACCTACTTTATTATACGCAGAAGAGATTAAAAAGAAAAAACCTAACTCTCACGGAGTCTAATTAAACCATATTAGGCCCTATTTCGAGTTTTATTTTATATTAATTTAGCTGATTTTTACTAATTACAATCAATTACGGAGTACTTTATGTACTAATTAAAATTATTTCTGATTAAATATTCATGATTATGAAGCTAAGTGGGCCCTTATTCATTAATCAATAACTAAGAGTAAGTGAATTATTTGTATTTTTTTTTATCCAAATTGAATTATTTGTATAGTGGACAAGATTTTCTTACAAATTCGGATCATATGGTGCCCTTATACTACGGGGGATATATTAATCACTACCCATGTGGATGGGAATCTTTTGCTAATTTTTATTTTTAAATATTGACACATCTTTATAAATCAAATATAATTATACCTTTCTAATCTTTTCCTAGTAATCCTCTAGATTTTGTTACAATTTTTTATAGCCACTATGATTATCAATAATGAAATGTTCAAATGTACATTGTTTAGAAAGATAACTAAAAGTATTAAACTAACGAACTTTGAAAAACGAAAATTTTTAACCAGATTGTTTCCTTGATATAGACGAAAAAAGATTAATTAAACAAAATTAAGTCATTAGGCTATTTTTAGTAAAAGAAAAGTCATAATGAAATACTACTAAGGACTCCATGTAAAACGAATACTAATTGTAGCAATCAAATAAGCAATCACCTAGATACTAAGAAAAGTCTAAATCACAAGAGTAGTACTATAAAGATATCTTTAATTTTTATATACTCTATAATGCTATTAAATATAAAATTCCTGGTAAAACATCATTTTCGAGTGAATCCTTGATATCTAATTACATATATCTAATTCGTATTATATTTGGTCAACTCGGATATCATATCATATTACTAATAAATAAAGTCGGTCTCGCGGGCAGGCCACGAGACAACGACACTTGACATTCCAGTTTTTCGCCAAGTGTGGAGCCACGTAGTCGACAAATAGGTTTTATTGTGGTAGATATAATGCTAAGTAAGCGATTGAATTTTGGATAAATTTTTTAAGATAGAATTGTTGTGTAGAGTTTTATTATCGATATACTTCTAACATTTCATATATACAAAATTAATCATAAATTTTAGTATCCTATAACTCAGTTCTATTTCCATCATAAAATTCGTTTTAAAAAGTTCTTTAAAATAAGATCCATTTATAATATATTTATTTTATAAAATTAATAGAGAATTAGTAAAAATTTAATCCGTAAAAATAATTTTAGTTTGGTAAAAATACTTTCGGTTCAGTAAAATAATTTAAGTTCAATAAAAATAATTTCAATTCAATAATGACATAGATATCTTATTTTATACTATTTGAATAATCCCTTTTGATAAATTAAATATCATATAACTAATATATAAAGCTAAACTTTTAGCCAGGCCACAAAATAACGACACCTGGCATTTTAACTTTTCGCCAAATGTCACGCCACGTAGACAGCAATTAATTATTCGTATGACACATAGGATGAAAATGTTGGATAGATTTAGATATATTTTGTAAGATAAAAAAGTTAGTTTAGAGTTTTATTTTTAATAAAATTTGGATATATTTTAGGATAAAATTACCGATTTAGAGTTTTATTTTCGATAAAATACCAATATTTTATATGTACAAATAAAATTATAATCCTATTTAAAAAATTAATTATAATTTTCAATAATTATTATCTTAATAATTTATTATTTTTGTATCATAATATTTGTGTTAAAGAGTATTTCAAAAAAAAAAAAATCCATTTATGATATACTTTAAAAATTATAAGCCACAACTTTATGATCGGTAGTAATATATTTTTACTTAACAAACTAAGTGTTTCGAATAAAGTCTAGGATTACTCAAATTCTTAAATGTCAATGGAACTGTAAAATTAAATTACCCATCCGATTATGAACATTTAAAGCAACTAATGTTTCAAACGTGGATAGAGTTAGACATTAGTAATAATGCCTTTGAAATTATAATTATTTTATAAGTAGCTAATTAATGTAAGGATTTTTAAAACATAAGGATATAAATTGTGGAGGGAACCCGGGGCATTGCCCGGAGGTACGTACTAGTTAAGAATAATTGTGCTTCTACGTTTTTTTGTTTTTTAATATCAAATGCAACTTTTAAAAGGGATTTTTGTAACATAATTAAATATACAATGGTCGGTAAAGATTGTAATGAAATACACATTGTATAGTATCGTACTACTATTATGACTATCTTAAAGGATCTCATTCTTAAGAGTTATACCTTAAATTCGAAAATTGATTTTGGCACACCCTTAATTGATTTTGGCACACCCCTATGTGAGAAGAGCATAGAAAACTGTACTCTCACATAAGAGTATGCCAAAATCAATTTTGGTGTGCCAAAATCATTTCCCTTAAATTCTTTTTCAAAACAAATTGTGTTATTTACAATCACGTACAACAATAATGTAGACCATACTTAATTCCGAAATCTCGGGTACCCTTTTAAGGCTTCATATCACATACTTACATACTTATATCATTACATTGAAATTTTAAAAGTTGTAATTAGGTAGATTCACCCAAAAAAAAAAAGTAAATCTAATGAAGTGAATAAAATAATATACTTTATGAGATTAATATACAAATAAATGGGAACAAGGTTGGGCCATTAGATAATAATCAAAGATCCTACAGCTCACACGAATTGCATCTTTTCAATCAAACCAATAATAATAATGTAACATCACATTTTGACTTAATATTTTCAAGGGGGACAAAATATGCACCAAGATTCTTTAAGATTTTCCCATATCATATAAAGATAACTTGGGATCTCAATTATGTTATTTAGTTAACGTCTAAGTATTATTTTTCAACGCAAAATTATAGAAATTACTTTTAATTTATTTTAGAAAGAAAATATATTTTTCTAAAAAAAGAAAAGAGAATAGTCTATTTTTAGAAAAAGGTGAGAAAAAGACATGAGCTTACATGTGAATTCTTGAAGGAACATTCTCAGAAGACATCACAACCACTGGTACATCTTTCCAGGAGGATTCCTGCCAATTTGAATGAAATTTCCCGGAATTATTAGCCTTTTTTGGTTTTAAAATGATAAAGTACTAATGACAACCAAATTGGTATTGGTGGTTATAAGCCGTGGAAATAAATTTAAGTGTAATTTGATAGTAAAACTAATGTTCATAGTAAGTTAATAACGCTCATCCAAACTTTTTATTTATATACTTACCAACATTTGATATCACTTATCAAATGAGCCGTAATAGTACTAACAAATTAATGGAATTCTATATTTAAATAAATAAATAAATTCTAGATCTTCGTACAAGTTGCTAGGGAAATATGTATTGAGTTTAGAGTAAAACCTTGACTCTTTTTAGTAGATCATAACCAGTTATTCCCGGCATGGAATAGTCTGTCATTATCAAGTTCACTCTTGTTCCTTGTCCCTGCTTAAGAAGTTGAGGATATCATATTAAAACATGCAATTGATTTGACGATTTAGCTAAACATGTTGTAATCTTCGAAAATAATACATTAATCATCTCGGGTTTCAATTCATAAGATAACGAAGCTCCCTCAAATAAGCAGATAAGTAAACATTAAAGTTTTAATTGGATCATACATAAGGTACAAATAATTATATCATGAAAATTATTGATAGCTCGGGTTTTCAGTAAGTCTAGCAACATTACCTTACAATTTCTAACTCGATTTTAGGTTAGATATACAGTCAATTATACCCAAATTACATATATATTCTTTCTTTCGTGACCCAGCCAACTTCGACTTATTTTTCATGTATTAGAAGTTTCGTAAAATGTATACTTATTTTTCATGTATTAGAAGTATTTTAGATTCTTACCCTACCATTGAACTTTTTTCAAACAATTAATAACCATATAGAAGTATATATTTAATCATTTGAGGATATAGCATCTCACTACGTCAAATTGTGTTATTACTACAGTTAGAAACTTGGTAATGAAGTCTTAAGCATATATTATGTCATGACGATACGTGTAATTAGGGAGATATACACAACACAAATTTGCTTAAAACTTTGGTTAACCATAATCTTCATTATTCTAAATTATTTTATTTAATAGCTTTTATAACTATCTTATCATAAACAATGAAATTTACTGTAATAATTCAATGAGGTCTAAAATATGAGAAATAAATTGAGTTAGAACAGCAGTTGACATAGTACCTGAATTTATGAAAGTGTAATTGGTGATAGCTTACAGTTATGTGCGCATATAAATGCACTCAAATTAAATTTGCTACCTTCACAATTCATTAATTTGAAAATAAATACTACAAAGTACTACGTAGTATTATATATTCACCAAAACAAAGCCTAATCAAATCGATCACTAGTTCACTAGTTCAAATTACAGTACTATCAATGTGACTATATATATATATATATATATATATATATATATATATATATATATATATATATATATATATATATATATATATATATATATATATATATATCAATTCCGGCCTAATAGAAATTAATCAAAGGCTACCGACGAGTAACATTTATGATCTCTTGGTTTTAATTTATAATTAGTGAATTAGGTGCATGCATTATTATCACTTTTGAAACCAATTGAAGCTGTTCAGATCTAGCAGTACAAGAAGCTTTTGGTGCCAACTTTCTCTCCTTTTTGAATTCTTTAGAATCAAAATAATATAAAATCACTTAACAGATCTTCGCTTAAAATCAAAAGCAATCCAAATAAACACTTTTGTAAGAAAATATATTCTTGCCCTCTATATTTCAGTCACAAAATAAATAACATGATACTGTATGATATGATATGATACGATATGAGATGAGACTCTGGCTGGCCCTGTGTTCCGCCCTGTATGGCAGCACACACTATGGCCGGCCGTCCCCGTAAAAAGAAAAAAAGAAAAACTATGAGGAAGAGAAAACTCACTTGATGGTGGTGGTGATGAACATTATCAGGTAATGGAAGAGAAGGACAAATCATGGAAACTTCAACATCATCATCATCATTACCATCATCATGATGATCATCAACATGATCATGATGATCATCATCATGAACATGACCATCATCATCAATAACTGGGCTATGACAATTCACTAGGCCCAAATACTCCAAAGCCTTATCCCCAGATTCAACGCAAGTCACTACACATGTAACAAAAAAATCATTCAGAATTTCGAGATGGATAGTTAGAGTAATTCGATATATGAGAACTAATTCTGAACCCCGAACGAAATTATGAGAAAAAAGGATTTGTATACATACCATGGTAGGAAGAGATGGTAAGGAGCTTTTCTAACATTTTACGTTCGATGATACTATCATCAACGGCTAATACATGAAAATGCTCATCTCTAATATGATTATTTTCTTCATTTTTCGGAATTATAATTTGGGTTTGTGCTTCCATTTTTCTTCCGGAGTGATAAAAATTGGAAAGAAAGAACAATATAAAAATATTTGTAGGTAGAGAAATATTGAAATAATATAGAGATCCAAAATATATAATGTTGTAATGAAGAATGAGAATTGTAAAACTCGGGTTTGTCCACTTGTATATATATAGTACAAGAGAAGCAAAAAAAGGAAGGTAAAAAATAAATATATTAAAATTAATTTTAAAATTAGAAAGTACGGAGTATTAAAAAAATTTTAAAAAAAAATAATGAAAAAAAAAAAATGTTTGCCGTAGGTGATACTAAAGGGAGTAAGAGAAAGAGTTGGGGAAGATCTGTGAATAGATTCTGCCGTTCACACGTCGGTACAACTCACTGAGTTTGGTGGGGTCAATTGGGTCCACTTTCATATTGTCTCTCTCATTACCATTTTCTAATTATATGTGTGCATTGGCATGCATTTTTTTTTTTACTTTCTTTTACTGTATACAATAACTTTTGATTAACCTATTAGTAAATGTTTGTATCTTGTTTGGGTAGAGATGACAATGAATTGGATGAATTAGATAGTGTTATTGTGTGAGGTATGACATGATGCAACATAGTATGATTGTAGACTTGTGGTAGGGTTGGGCATGAGGTATGAGAATGGAGGGGTTGTAAGTGTGTGTGTTTGAAGGTGAGAGGGGAAGATGTATGTGTCGAAGTGCGTGGTTGCTGAGGCTGAGACTTGATGTTTGAAAAATTTGTTAATGTTACTTAATTTATTACTCCGTATTAGTCTAATTTTACAAATCAAATTAGAAATCAATAAGGGTTTTTATCGTAATTACTTGTAAAACTTAATCGGATTTGAGGCACTAAATAAAAATCAACATTCTTTGTACAAATAATTAAAAGAACGCTACCTAATAACAACTAGCTAGCTAGTACAAGCTCAACTCGCTAAGTATGTGGGATGGATTGTAGATAACAATGTTAAGAGTATGTAGCTTGTGTTGACACATCAATATAATACAAAATATCACATCTTAAACCCCAATAGAGTGTATCTGTCAAGACTCGATGCGAACATTAAAAAAAGGATGCAAACTAATCTGACATGACATACTGATTGTATATATCATAACAACTTCTAGAATTTTAGAAGTGTAAGGTGCAACAACCATTAGAGTCCTTGACATATCATACCCTTTATAAATCACACGTACATACATACGAACACAAAAAATCTTCGTGGTAAAATATTAGGTCATGTATATATGGTAAAGTTGATATGGGATAGATGAATAAAATATTACACCTTGTAAAAATCGTGAGAATAAGATAATCCAGATTCTAGAGACAATATAAAATAATTAATGTTGATCATTAAGGATCCCAGTGTTGATTTAGGGGAGGATTACGTTGATGACTTATAGTAAAGTATAGATAAAAATCAACAGTAAAAATTGTAAAGAAGATCTTCAAGTCAAAGAAAGATAGTAGTATGGTATCAAAGTGTAATCATGTTACTCGTGCTATATCAACCTTCTTTATCTTTTTTATTTATACTGTTTGTCTAGATTTTCTTCACATGTGCTTTATTTTTACCCTTTCTTCTTTGCAGTAGTATCCGAGCTAATCAACACAAATGCTTTCATGTATCCTATATTATTGCTTCTTACTTATTTTTCTTTTTTTTTTTTAAAAAAAAATAGAAATTTTATTATTATTTTTGTGTTATTTATTAAGAAGGGGTTACAATTTTTATTCAAAAAAAAAAGGGGGGGGGGGTTACAATTTTTTCAAGATGAGGTTAAGAATTATTCTTGCTGATGATTAAAATTGAATTTAGTTTGATTTAATTAAATAGATACATTGATCAATATAGTTAATTGAGCAACCTTAATCCATGATAGTTACATTTGACGGTATTTTTTTTATATTTTTTTTAAGTAGTTAAATTTAATTTATCCAACAATAATCAATGATCATGTAAAATAAAATTATACATGCATAGAAGCATTAATGGTAAGGTAGATAAAATATTATATATATAATTAGTCGATTTGCTCATTCATCATATAAAAATGAGCAAACTGTACAGATAGAGCTAGCATATCATGCACTAATTTCATCTTGATATTTCTCCCACCATCAATTTATATTTATTTTAGGTCAAGGTGAAAATTGAGTGATAAATTTTATTATTGTAAATCAAGTTTCACCATTACAGCTATGCGAAGATCCTTTGAGGGAATGAGATTGGATGTACATATCCCATTTCGATCTCAATCTCCTATAGCATACAAATCATATATTATCAATATAATGGATAGAGATGTGTACATATAATTAGAGGGGAAAAAAAGATGCAATGAAGATTGAGATATTGCGTGCCATTCCAAATGGATATCATATCATGCGTCCAAGATTTTGAAGGACCACAAATGTTTTGTCAAAGGATATGTATATCTTAAAGATATAAAATCTTGGGTAGTTGAGGCCTACTAATACATACATTCATTTCGTTTTATTATTAGCCCCATATCTATTTTAGCCATATTTATCCATATTTTGTGTGTATTTTTGGTGAGATATAACATGGTGTAATTAAGATAAATCTAACTATTAACATGCAATTAATTAGTTGTACAATCTAAAGATGAACGGTCCAACATCAATTTTAATTTTGAAAGAGATTCGAGATAATACATGCATGTTACATACTTCTATACTAAGGGAAAAAAATCATAATTAATGGATCCTATGCATAGTAGCCACTACTAAGTGTTGGTCTTTATATGGTAAATTTGATCGTGGAAGTCCATTTCAAATCATGGTAATTGTTTTTACCCTTGTAGAAGGAGTGCATGTCAAACCATGATGCGAGTTGATTTTTAGTTTTATTCTCATTTTTCTAATGGTGGATATAAGTTTTTAGGTGACATTAAAAATGAAATAAATAAGTATATAATTTTGTTTATAGAGATGTGTTCATATATAGTTAATTCTGGGAATCAATAAAGAAATATACAATCGAATATAATTTGAAGATATTTTTAAATACAGAATGGCATAAATGCAATGATGTGGATAAGATTTAAATTTTAAATTAAGAGTGTTAAATTTTCACTCGCATCCTTCATATTAAGTGTACATTATTTTAAATGTCGTGTTGATGCAAACAAGGTTCAAATTTTAAATATAAAATCATAAATAATGCAATGATGTTGAATAAGGCTATGTGTTCCACTCATCTTATTTTTCTTCTTTTAGAATAAGTAATTTCATATAAGATAAGTTTTAGAAAGGCAAAGGTAAGTTCTAATAAGGGCGATAAGGCCGCTATTCAAATTCAAAGTACTATCTTAATGAGTTTAAACAAATTCATGTTACTTTATATTCTACATTAATATCATGGATGTTATTTAGATATGGATATCAAACATCAATAGAGGAGTTCCCAAAAAAATATTGTCGTCAACCTTCATGATTTTGCTTTCGAAAAAAATATATATAGTTACTAAATGATATGATATTCAAAATTAATAAATAAAATAATTATAATGTTCATAATAATTAAAGATGATATTGCGTAAAGTAAAAAGAATATTGCATACATATCCCTCCTTTTTTTAAGTACTTTAATAAGACTTTTTGCACTATTAACTTAACCCACTGTGATCAATATTTATGATTTATATCGAAATAAAGAGTAAATACAAAAACAAGGTACTAATGTTTGCCTAAAGTTGCAAACAAGGTACTCAAGTTTTAAAAGTTGCAAACAAGGTACTCAAACCAAAATTCACCCACTACAACAGGTTACCATTTGACGAAAAAAAGGAAAATTAAATTGCTGACACAATAAATAGAAGGTACTAATGTTTAGTGATTTTCTACATATTGATAAAAAAAAAAAAAAAAAAAAAAAAACCACCCCATCAGCCTAACCACCTATCACAGCAGCCCACTCCTACCACCCCGACCGCCTGCCGGCCCCTCAGAGCGCCGCGCCTTGCTGCTCTGATCGCCATATCCCTCCCCTTGAATGCACCAACCGTCGTACGCTCACTCCTCAATCCTCATATGCATAACCCTAACTACCTTAGATTTCGAATTCTAATCTTCTTTTTCTCCTAGCGTTTCTCATGATTATGCTTGCTAAAGTTTCTCTACTCATCCTCATCAATTATACGGAGTTATCAATTCATCCTTATCTGTGTCGATAATATTGAGGTACACCATTTCTTTTTCGGATTCTTAGAAGGTCCGCTTCTCCATGTTATCATGTGTATAATAGTCCTCTTCCGATGAGAAATTCTGGGTAGGGTGGTGGTGGTGGTGGTGGTGGTGGGGGGGGGGGGGGGGAGGAGGAGGAGTAGGAAGGGGAGGATGAAGGAGAATTTTACAGCGATTGCGGTGGTGTATTTTTTCCCTTCCCACGCCTTGATTCGACCCCTTTCCCCTTCCTATATGCCTTGATTTCGGTAACAGTGTGGTGGTTAAGAGGTGACTAAAGAGGGTAGGGGAGGGGCGGCGACTGGCACGGGGAGCTGCGGTTTGGGCGCAGCGGTGCTGGCGGCCAGCCTGGGCCGATGGTGGTGCGGGGAGGTGGCTGGGGCTGGGGTGGTGGTGGTTTTGAATTTTAAATTATTAATAATTAATTGTGCCATTGTCAATAGGAAATGATGACTTTTTCTTTTTTGAGGCAACAACTCAGCATTTATTTTTATTTTATTTTTTTTAAAGCAAAACAAATGAGTTAATTTGTTGATGTAGGTCACCACCAAAATTTTTACCTGCAACCAAGGTTTGAGTACCTTAATTGCAACTTTTGAAACTTCAGTACTCCAATTGCAACTTTAGTCAAACATTAGTACTTTGTATTTTACTTTACTCCATAAACAAAATATAGTTTTTGTGGGTATTTGTTGGAATCCTCTCAATTAATAATTTATTAATATTTAATTGTTATAATTTATACTTTATTAATAATTAAAGATATTATTAGTCAAAATTCTACATCGGCATATACGAGTCTAGTTAAAATGGAGTACTTAAATAGAAACAAAGGGAGTATATATAAGTAATAAATAAAACATTGCGAATAAGTAGATAGAACACAAATTAAATTTAAGTAGAAGATTAAATA